GCTTGCCAGGCAGGCGCTTTGCCGCTGAGCTAAATCCCCAGCCCCTTGTTTCTGTAAACTCTAAATAGAACAACTGACTGGGCAGAAACCTTACAATGCCACCTTGTAAATGATGTGAAAATCCATGCCATGTCTATAAATAATGGGCTGCAGATAAACTAAAGGAACTGAGAAAGGTGGAAAGAGGGGAAAGTAATTCAGTAAAATGAGACATGGTCTTTGATCACAATAGTAAATGAGAGCCAAGTAATTCCTAAGTCAGGATTCTGAGTCTTAACCTTAACAATGGCACGTAAGTCTGGGGGCTGGCTATCTCCCATTTCTTCTCAGACCTTCTCCACTCTTCCCTACCTTCCTGAGAGGACCATGTGTAAGGACCATTTCATCACTTCCTGACCCTCTAGTTTCAGATGGATTTTGTCAATGGGAAGCACTGGTGGGAGATGGAAGGCAACGATGAGCCAGCAATTCTTCAGCAGTCATCTGCATGTAGCTCTCTGTCTCAAGTTTCATAAATGCCCCTCTTCTCCCACCTTCAGGGCTTAGTGCAGACGTGTGGGTGAGCGGTTAACATCTCTGGGGCACTGCCCTATGACTTGCACTTTCCTCTATTCTGCCCATACTTTCATGAAGAACGTTGCTGACAGACTTCTTCTCAACATAATCTAATTGTGCTACCTGTATCCTGCTAGAACTGTGAAGCATACATCTCAGAGCTACTTCAGAGACCCTCCTACAGTGCAGTGCTTCCAGTTTGGTGCCATTTTTCTAACGGAAATACAGAGAGGATGATGTGAAAATCAGAAAAGTAGCTGCTCTTTTCTCTATCAGTATTGCTTTAAGAGTTCATGACCTAAGGGAATTTTAGCCTAATCATCTAAAGCTCTAAAACTTCAGGTGAAAATTTTATCATTTCACTCCATTTTATATGTAGAACAAGCAACACTTGAGTAGTCCTTCAATGTTTCAGGCTAGCCAGATTAGGACACTGCTTAATACATGGCCATCAGCCTGGTGACCCATGGAAGTAACAGGCAGCAGATGGATCTGATTAACATGCAAAGATCCTTAATGGTTGGCAAGCTACATCTCCAGTTCAATAGACACTAACAGCTAAAAATCATCGCATTTATCCTGGCCAAAATAAAACACAAAAGTGAACAAAAACATTGCTTACCCACATTCACAGGGCATTTTACAAACACATCTTGAACTCTGCCTTTCTCCCAGAGCTGAAATGTAGGTGCTGCCTGTGCTAAGGGAGCGTCTAAAGGAAAAGTGTGAGGGAGATGCAATCATTGAAGAAGGTGTTCCTCACAGTAAATGGGTTATGTTTTAATTTTTTAACCTGGGTCTTTAATGTTTTCAACTGCAAAGAGTCTCTAGAGTAAAAATAATAGTAATTATTATTATTCCTGTATTTAATAATAATAACAATAATAATTACTCCTGTATTTAACAGGAACACTCTACAGATTATTGCATTGAGCATTTACAATTGGTCATGCACTTTTCATACACTGCGATAATTAATCCTCCCTAACATTTGCTCATCTAGGAGGTAAGAAAACTAAAGCTCAGAAAAATTTAAAAATTTCAGTCAATTCACGACCTTAACAAATTGACCATGACAGAATTTAAGTCCATGTTTATCTGAATTCAAGGCCAGTAAAGCTGACTTCCTCAGAAGAAGTTGGTGATTATAAACTATTTATTTTTTGTACTGTATTTTTCCACTGAGCCTATAATGGAACATGACTTATATGTGGAAAAATTGCTGGCATCCCAAGAAGACCCATAAGCTCTCACAAGTAAATGTCCAGATGGTCTGCCTTCAACTGGATGTGCTTATATTAATAAAATTCTCTCCATTACTTTGTGTTTTCTAGAAACAGATTAAAAAGTTGACTAGCTTTCCAATTTTGAAAGAAAAATCATCATGGTACATTTTATAAGAGCACAGTTGACTGTCATTACTTTGGCTACAACTGGTTACAAGGTAAATAATTTGAAACACTAAAATTTTTCCACTTAGTGCCAGCTTCGTTGCAAAGGAAGTCATTGGCATATTCTTCGGGTTAAAAGTAAAACTAGAACCTCACTGAATAGAAAGTTAGTTTATCAGAAGAGTATGCTTTTTATAGTACAAGAACTATGGAATACTTCCTTACTTTGTAAAATTTGAGATTTAGACATAAGAGTACAATCTTGTGGTCAGTTCATAAACTTGGGAAAGTGGCAGCAATACGAAGCACACTTGCCATGCCCATCACAAGTCATTATTTGTAGTGCTTCAATTTTAAATGGTATTATCCTAAACCCAATGCAGCATCCTGAATTGGACTCTAGGTCATTAATGCAAAATCTAATGATATCTGGATAAAGTGTTTAATTTGGTCAATAGTATTGTACTGCTATTAGTTTGTTCAGTTTCAATCAACTGTTAAGTTGTGTAGGAAGCAAAGATGTGTTATGGAAATTATGTTTGCAATTTTTCTGAAATCCAAAATTATTCCAAAATGGTTTTAAACAGTATTTTCTGTATCATTAATTCTCAACCAGGAAGTATTGCCCCCAAAGGTACATTTGATAATATTTGGAGACATTTTTCATCGTAACACTGGATAGGTGTGTGGTCCACTGGCATTTGGTAGGTAGAGATCATGGCTGCCCGGGAATATCCTATGATACACAGAACAGGCCCTCACAGCAACAGCACTGAGGTTGAGAAACATTAATCTAGATGTACCAAACTAAAGTTTGTTGATAAAGCCATATGAATTAGCTTTTCACTGTTATTCAAAATTTATTTTAGGGTAAATTTTTATATCTTAGATTTTACATATTTGCTAAAAGTTACTCTACTTTCTTTTCAAAAAAATTATTGGTAGGAGTACCAAAGATTTTTGCATTTCAGAACAGCTTTATCTGCGTAAGTACATGCTTAAAGCCTTCCTAGAGTGTGTGCCTTTTGCCCACATCAAGACTGCCCTCAGTGAAATATTGGTAAATAAGCAGTTATTGGGACAGTTTCAATTTAGAAAGGTAAAAATGTTCTGGGTAGTACAACTGTGGAATGTGTTTATTGCCACTGAACTATCTATTCAAAAATGGTTTGAATAGTAAATATTATATTATACATATTTTACCACAATAAAAAAAATCTACTGAAATATCTGGTATTTTATTCATTTACATTTTTAAGCTGATATTTTAAAACAAGAAATTTAGAGGCTGACAAACCTGGGATTTTTTGGTTGGTTGGTTATAGTGTTAAGGGTAGTAATGGTTATTATCTATGTCTTGAGAAAACAGACCTGAAAAACATCCTTATTTAAAACCAACTTTAGACTCCCAGCATTCCGGTTCCCTGGAAGGATGCTTCCGGCGCACAGGGAGCTGTGGGCGGAGAGCGCCACCCTTCGGGCTGGATAGCTTTCTGCCTGCTGGCTCCCGG